TGTGTGTGTGTGTGTGTGTGTGTGTGTGTGTGTGTGTGTGTGTGTGTGTGTGTAGAGGAAGGGCAATATGATCCTCGTAGGATTCAGAGGCCCACACACAAGGTCCTAGAGAGATCTGGCAGTGAAATTCAAGATGACCAGTTGGAGAGTGAAGGCAGGGGGGGGGGGCAGGGGGTTGCTACATTTGTGAATCCCGGATGTTTTTTCAGTCTTGATATGAGACATCTCCTCTGGGGGTGGGGGGTTCTTTGAGGCAGGTTAGTGGATTTTTATTCAAGATTGGAGAACAAAAGCTGAGTCTACGTTTACTAGATTTCCACTGTAGACCAAATATAGCATTTTCTCCCTTTTAAAATATGTATTGCCAGTAGAAAACACTGTACGGCTTTCCTAAAGATAAAACATTTTCAGCACTGTATATATATATATATCTAAACACATACTCATATTAGCTTTAGTGGGAAAGCAAATCAAGTCCTGCGTACATATTTTTCATGCTGCCACATGCCTATCTTTACTTGAAGTTAGTTTGAAAAATGAAGATCCCTGCGGCTAAAGAGAAGGGCTTTTTCAAGGCTTTCTGTCATTCATGTTGCACACATGCAGGCACAGTCCAAACAAAACCCATAAAACGCATGAGGGACGTGTGACCAAGCTAGTTGTTTGTAAATGTAATGACCCTCACACAATTTTATTTTGAAGGCTTTTACAGTAGGTAAGGAAATAAAAATAATTTGAATACATGAATACAAAGCAAGATGGTAAATTAATGAGCAAAGCTTCCACAAAGAAGCATTAATGAAAGGCTTTTGAGAATAAATAGGTTTTTGAAGTCTCTGTTGTTGGAAAGGGTTTTAAAGCCAGTTTTGATGCGACCCTCTCTCCCAATCTGTTCATTAAAATCCTAAAAGCAAGTTTAACAAACTCTGAATTAAAGGTTTGAATGAGCTTCTTGAGTTTCTAACAGATCTTTTTTTTTGTTCCCACAGTGACCTGAGCATGAACAACATCACTGAGCTTCCAGCATATGTATTCAAGAACTTCCCCTATCTGGAAGAACTGTGAGTACATGTCCCCTTCTTCTCTCGCTAATGATGTATTTACTCTGTACAATGTTGACATGAGGGCTCGGCTTTATGATATGCACCTGGGTATTTGAGTCTCACTGCAAAACACAGTGCAGGCACACAACATGCTCTTCCCCTCATCTGAAGCAGATAAGCACAACATTACGTGAGGCAACGAATCACTCGGCATTCATGAGTTGAATAAGGCCAGTTTAAAAAAAAAAAAAAAAGGTGCAGTAAACCTCAATTAAAAAGATGAGGTCAGACGACATGTATTGAAGCTATGATCACGTGACATCCTGTTTGGATTTTTTTGCTTTTAAGGGATTATCAGCATGGCAACAGCACATCTACGCTGTGGGGCTTTGTTGAGTGGCGTACATCTAATCTTAGCGGGTGTTTGTTATTTCTTCGCTCTTTAAATACTCCGCTGTCTGGCTCGCTGCTGCAGGGAGCCGGAGATAAAATCTGTCTACCTGATATCAGGTAACACGCGGCCCTGAGAATTCAAACTGACCAGCGAGCGAGCAGCAGCTTCAGCTCCACTTGGTCCTAGCAGGTTTTTTTTTTTTTCATGCACCTTTCAGCCGATTAAGTCTTCACCCTCTTCCTTTCCATACAACACTCCAATCTGCTTTGTTGAAAGGCAATTTACTTTTCATCACATCGTGTGGAGGAATGCAAGACAGGAAGGGAGATGGCAAAACAATTGTTTCCATAGCAACAAGGCCAAAAAAGCAACCCTGTCTCGCTGCTACTTTTTTCCTGCTTTAAATCATCGTAACGAATGGACTCTCGTTGGGGTTGTCTGTTTCGGAAGAGAGATATTATGATTGACACATACCCGTAGTTCACCTGCGTTTGTTTAACCGTTCTTGGTTCGTCTCAGTGAACTTTGGTGGATGAGTTTTTCGCTCAGGGCTGCAGCAGTGTCAGTGAACCAGAGCATGGGCCCTGAGGGCAAAGACAGGGAGAGAAAGAGTTGACAGAGGAGGAGAGCAGGCCATCCTCATTCAAGACAGGAGTGAAGACAAGGGAGGAATATTCCCTCCTTCACAGTCACGCAATCTCCTGTGCTTTCTTTCTTCCTTGCCAAAGGCACAACAAAGCTCAGCAGATGTGATGACAGGTATTCTCCGTCTCCATCGCAGTTTGTTTGTATTCTTGAAAATAACCCGTGACCAATAGACTATATCTACAGACACCTTTATTGTCCTGTCTATTTACCATGGTTTGTAAAGCACCAAGGATATTACGTTCATTCTTAAGAAACCTGTGATATAAATCATTTTTGACTGGTTTGAATCCGGTTGAATGATATCCCCTAAGATCCAATGAGGTCTAATTTATCTTTTACCTGCAACTTTGGAAATACAGCAGTGCATCCCATTTTTTTAGGATCTTATGATTTTTTTTGTGCTGTACACGTTATCTCATGGATTCTTATGGTCAGATGTTAAGATGTAGACAGGTGAATTTTCCATCATCAAATGAGCATGCATGTGTCTGCTTAAAACACAGTGCGTCATTCAAAGAACCTGAACGTTCTTCCAGTGATTGTGAAAGCTCTTCTGGACTCCCTGTCTTTCCAGCACACAGAGTTAAAGAGTAGCTGCTAATGGCTGCTAACCTCGGAGTACCATCTTTACATTACTATTCATACTCCGAGTGTCCCCTGACCCTCTGCATCACACGCATTTTAAGATATGTTGTGAGGGAGGGTTCATGTCCAGAATTTAAGGGGGAAGATACTTTTTAAAGATTTTGGAGTTATGCTCTGGAGTGTTAGCTCATTGGTTGATAATGATCATCATCGAAGTTGGAGAATGCGTTTTTCAAATTAGACATTTTCTTTGAAAGATTATGTTCACAGTGTGTGTGTGTGTGCGTGCTAATGGGCACAGGCTGGTACTTGTTTGAATAAACAAGATATTTGTATTAGAAAATGTTGAAAATGGATATATTTATGATTCATGCAACTTCGTCTTTCGGGAAAACAAATGTGACTTTAAGAGCTGAGGCACTTCACAATTCTGTTATAATGACAAGGTTGTTAAAAATGGCCTTATGAACATTGTCATCGACAACATGCACAAAGGAAATGAAGTCATCAACCTCTAACTACTACCTTCACCAACAGTGATCTAAGAAGGTGTGTGTTGCACATGTGGGAGCATGTTGTGTGGAACGGGTGCTGGGTTGAGCTTTGTCACAGTGGTAGAATATTAATAGAAATTAAATTGTGCTGTTACAGGAAAGTTTGAGGCCCAAATGCTTTTATTTTGTAATTTTAGCAACTGATGTTCGTGCCTTTACAGCTGTCAGACCACACTGCTGGGCTCTTTGTCAATGTACTATTGACAGAGGTAAACCTGTGGGAGTGGTGTTGCACAAGGAGAGGATTTAGCCTTTCCTCAGTGAGATTTAGCACATTCTTTAGCCCCTATCGAAGCCTGGGGGGACAAGTATTGAATTTGTTAAGAGATGCAGAAGGTGAAGAAACCTGAACACTTTGTCAAACCATGTTTGCATGTGATGATTAGCTCACAAATTGTGCATTTTTACATTTCAGGTATTTCTCAAAACCAAACCAGGCTGAATTGACAGTATTATGATGAAGCTGTTGAGCATTCATATCCAAATATGACAGGGCTGTTCAACCAAAACAAATCAAATGGTGACCTGGAAAATCCCAGCATTTTGCTGGCAGTTTAACATTTGTTGGTGGAGGCCCCTGACGATGAGACACATTGTAAATAAAGATCTGATTTTGCTGCAGCTTTACAGCTGTATTGACGCTCGAGATTGACCTTTTTCATAACTGTAACTCTGTGTCCCTGCAAACTTGGCACACTGGCTCGTCTTTTTACTTCAAAAATTACGTACATTTCACGTTGTTTTAGCTAAATTACATTTATGATCATTTTTTTTTATAGTTCTGAGCTGTTTTGTTGGAATAAATGGAATTATCTTGATGTCAGGATCAAATTGTCTCATGGGCCATACACGCCTGGAGACATGAGGTTCCCCACCCTTGATTTAAAGATGATTTATTTGCACTGTATATTCATTACATTTTGTTGGACTTTGCTTTTATTATCAATAAACCATTTCTCTCTCAGCCTTTTTCCTTTATTTAGTATTTCTTCCTTTGGTGTTTGTTTTTAGGTCTGTGGAAACTGTGTTATATCTGGTGGATGGAAACTTGTTGAACCAGTAAAATGTAATGCAAACAAACAAAAGTCTGCATGAGGGGTACGTGGTCTTCTACCACAGTCAGCCACGGTTCTCAGGCTCACACCCAGCAGCTCCTGTTGCAGGGAATTCGGCCTGGCCTGACTCACGTTGCAGAGTGATAAATCTGTTGCTAATCTCTCAGGCCAGATAGTATACTTGGGCTCTGTGTGTCAGTCTGCCTGTCCCATGCTTATTTACACCCCTGTTTCCTATACACTTCCTGTTCTGAGCAGGAAAGGGAGGTGTCCCCTGCCCCCTCAAGTAATTTGTGCAGAGACTGAAGCAGCTGTCTTATGATAAATCATTGACGAACATAACATTTTTACTGAGTTTTACTGGCCTCTTGTATATCTTCACTGGCCTAGCAGTATACAAACTAATGTATTTTCCCCTATAACCTAAAAATTGAATAGTAATAATAATGAACACGTATCGCAACACTTATTATGACAATGTGTAATTTCACAATGCAACAAATTCCAAAGATTTTCTGTAATTATTTACACAATCGGTATCAATATTTGATGTACTGTCTCGACTGCTGTCTGTGTTGTGTGAATAAAACTTCAGCTGCCTGCTAAAATCCACAGCACTTTGCATTTGTTAACTGCGTTAAGAGTTTACTTCAGCTAGCACTATTGTTAACTCAGTACAGTCACTGAGCAATGACCAGGTGAAACAGAAAAGTGCTGCTCCACCTCTCGTCTGAATAATGAGGAGGACTTGTTGCTGTTGTGAACGTGTCTGTGCAGAGAACCTGCAGAGATGCATTGTGGTTCTGTTGCATCGCATTGCTCGTGCTTTGTACAGCAGAACCTTTCATGCAACATTGGAGGCACCAGCCAATCAACTTATGCTTCAACAAACACTCAAGTGCAGACACGAGCCAATCAAATCCGGTTCCTGCGGCAGAGGCAGCTAGTGAACCTGATGTCTGTTCATCTGGTTATGGATTTTATTTTCTTTGTACTTCTCTTTTTCATCACATTGATAGCTAGCATGCCTAGTTAGCACGAAAGACAGCTGAGTTGTGTTTCTCAAGTGTGGAACTGTGAATCGTTTTCCACAAGCATTGAACATTGATGGTTGGGATGTAAGGAGGGGACATCCAGGAGGAGTTCTAATCTCTTGAAGGCGTCAGACGAAGTGACAACAGGCCGTGGCACAGACACATGTCTTTGACACCCCAGACCCCATGTTCAGCTTGAAAGCTGAAACTTGGTCTACTGAGGCGCTGGACGTTTTCTTAACACTATGCATTGCCTTATTCAGAAACACAATAAACTCTGTTGTTACAGAATGTTCTTTTTGGTTTCCTGTAGCCTGTGAGAAATGTCTTTTAATATGAGCTCAACTTTTTTCTTTGCAGACGACTTGCGGGGAATGACCTGTCATTCATCCACCCTGAAGCCCTGTCTGGGCTGCATCAGCTCAAAGTCCTGTAAGCACACAACCTCCCTGTCTCCACCAGCACCACTAGTGTTTGTACACTAACAAACACACACATTCATTGCTGTGACAGCGTGAAGTTTTCCACACACTGGGGGAGAGAGTAAATACTGCAGTTTGTGGTAACATTATGGGGCTGTCAGTCATTGACACCCTAATCATAGTCATACAACCTGCATCCACGTAGAACTGGAAATTTTCTCTAAAAACATTGCATAAGTTAAATCAGGCAGCACACACAGTTGACTTGTATAGACTTGGACACTGAACTCTGTTGATTCTGCTCTGAGCCAAAAGTTTAAAGTCCTGTTGAGCTACAGGTGAGGTCCTGGATACCAGACTGAAACACAAACACATGGAAGCAATTTCTATACTCTAATATCAAGTGATTTATACTAGTCACAAATGAAAACAAAGTGAAGTATTTTAACGGCACACAGATCAAACAAAACTATTCACATTGGATATGGGTCTTTTACAAATATAAGTATGGGGCACATAGTTGTTCAAAGTTTCTTCATCCGCTGACAGTTTGAGAGACCTCACCCACAGCTTGGACTTGTATGTAGAATGTATCTGTGGTGATGTGAGAAATAATGTTGAGTTAAAAATCACCATTTTGTCATTATACCTTCAGGATGCTTCAGAATAATCAGCTGAAGACTGTGCCCAGTGCAGCCCTGAAGAACCTTCAGTCCCTCCAGTCTCTGTAAGTCATATATACCCCCCCCTCCACACACACGCACGCACACGCACGCACGCACACACACGCATATACGAGGAATTGTCTTTTATCCTAAGTGGACCTTTCCATATTAGGGAAAAAACACATTGTAATTGCAACAGAGACTTTTTTTCAGCATCGTCATGCTGTTGAGATATTTTGTCAGATGAATGTTTCTTTTGTTGGTGGTACAGTCAATTCCTTTTTATGCAAGAAATCACTCAATGATCATTTCAAGCCATAATGTCACCCCGGCCCAGTTAGTTAGTTTTATGTAGCTGCAGTTGATGAGTTATTTTGACGTTAGCTCTTGGACGGAAAGTTACACTGCAGCCATCAGACCTGTATTTACACAGCCGACTATCCAAACTGAAATTCATGGTGTTTGTGCCAAACTAACGACCACATTCTAGACTGTTATTCACAAAGATGAGAATAAAGTCACAGCAGTCGTGGTGCTGCAAAGCAATGCAAATAATTTTTAGTAATGCAGGTAAAGATCTAAACGATTTGCTCAGAAAATTGACAAAACAAATTTATGCTGAAGTTGATTTTCAGGCAACAGTGGAGATTAGTTTGAGGCTACCGCATCATCAGTGTGAATGATGGATGAAATGCAATGAAAGAATGTTTAGATTCAGGACTTTTATGCTTTTTGCCTCAGCAGGGGCATGACTCATGTATCACAATGTTGGTGAGTCAGCCCTCCTCCATATTTATTTAATCCAGGTCATGTTGATTCATTGATTCAACTCCACATAACTAATTCAGACACGTTGTTGTTCACTACGACAGTTAAAATGTTCCTGTTTACTATGATCATCACTGTTCGTTAAATGTTAGTTCACTGGTAGTACAACAGTATGATGAGGGTTAAAACTTCATTCGTCCTCCAAGTTACACAGTTAAAATGTCATTATTTACTCACGGACATTACTGATGTCATGTCGGGGCGGCTCCACTCATATCACATACTTTACTCCTGCTGCAGTGTTTGTTGTTCACTAAGCCCGGCAACAGCCCAGTGCTAATGTAGGTCAGTGTTATTCAGCAGATCTTCTCTGTCCTCATGTTGAGTTTTTAGGAGCTTTTTTGTTTCTATGTGTTTACTCATTAACATTAGTCCTCTCTCACTTTTCCTGCTCCACTCTCCCTCAATCTTCTCATTGTGTTTGTGTGTCCGCTGACTGTCAGCTTCACTGAGACCGTAACATTTAAACGTCTTTATTTGTGCCACCTCCCTCCACCACCGAGCTTTTTGAGTTTGACAGGGACTAAAGGAGGAAGGGATCCAGCTGGAGAAACGTACTGAAAATTCAGCTCTCGGCTATTATCACTCCTCTATATCCCTCCTCACGTCCTTTACTTCCCCTCTTCTTTTTTTTGTGCTTCTCTTCTTTTCTTTTTAACAGATGTCTCTTCTCTGTGAGGGTTTTAAGGTCTGTAGCTGAAGTAATATGCTTTGGCAGAGCCAGGACTTGGTTTGTATAAAGCCTTAGAGAGCTAAATGTCAATCAAGACTGTTTTTCTTCCAGCCCAGACACTTGAGGAATTTTGAGGGAGGGCGAGACACTTGGTGAAGGAGGATAGCAGGAGAGAACGGTGCAGTGATGGTGGAAGGAACACTTGAGCAGCCGTAATACCCTTTAAATAAAGGATTTTCCCTTCCTACAACCAAGGCGTTGGCTTGTGATCAGGGGTTACTGCTCTCTACTCCATAGGGAATGCTAAAACTTTGGATTCCAGAAAAACCTTCAGCATCAAACTTGACATTTTTTGAATTAACCAGTAAAAATTGACAGATTAACTTCACACATTCATTCATAATATCCTCTTAGTGCTAATTACAATTATGATTTGTGTAATTCATTTGAAGGATCAAGAATTCCCATTAGTGAAGAATTACAGATTTTTCAGAGTTGAAGATAAAAAAGACAACGTGGAAGAAAACAGGCAGCGTAGACAGAGAATGAAGCTCAAACCTCGACCTGCAGTAATACGAAGCAGGTCCTGAGTACTTTGCAGGGAGGATGTTGACGGTGAGCTGCTGACCCTCTGCTTCAAGATGAATGATTGGATGTTGTGGAAATGCCACTTGGGAACCTCCTTTTATTCTGGAGGTATTCAGGATGGGGCTAATGGAGCAAACCAAAACATTAAATGCTGCTTAATCTAACTGGTGTTCTGAAGAAATGGGTGTGGTTGAAACAAATAAGATCATTGAAGCTTAGTTAAGTCTTACAGATGGATTGTGGGAGAACATTGGGTCCTGTAGCAGAGCTGTATTGACTTTGTGATATGTGACTTTGATAGATTCCGAGTGACAGGTACACAGACTAAAGAGTGAAAGATGAGCTCTCGCATGAGAGAAAGAACTGCATTGATGCCACATCTGGATCAGAAACTACGAGGTCTGACTGTCTGCGTGGACAGTAACAACATTATGAGAAGTGTAAAAAAGGTTTTGGTTCATTATGAAACTGGGGAGGGGGCAAATCAGAATGTGGTGGGCCGCCACAGTCTAGATAATTTATGAGAAATATTATATAGTGTCTTTAAACTTATCTTAAACCACAAATACACCGTGCCTTCAAGAACAAATTAAACCTAAATCTGGGAAGAAAGAGTTGAGTTGAGTTGTTGGGAATCATTTTCTGCTTGCAAGACACTGATAAAAGAAAGCAAATGTATTTGTTAATGTAAGCACTATGTTAACCGAATGAATGTGTGTTTTGCAGTCGCCTGGACGCGAACCATATTACCACGGTTCCAGACGACAGTTTCGAAGACCTTCAGCAGCTGCGTCACCTCTGGTTGGATGACAACAACCTGACGATGGTCCCCATCAGTTCCCTGAGACACCAGACAAACCTTCAGGCTCTTACGTTGGCACTCAACCGCATCTCGTACATACCAGACAACGCCTTCGCAAACCTCACCAGTCTAGTTGTGCTGTAAGTTCTATTAAGCTAATGATTTAATTGTTTAGTATAAAAGTCGGAACAGTATGTGGAAGTACAAATGCGTACAGGGTATTTGTTTGACTCATTTTTCGGGCTATGCTGTATAAACTGATCTAAAAAAAATGTTGTCTTACATCTGTACTATATTGAAAAAAGACCCAGAAGAACAACAAATATGTATTTATTTGTTGATGAGGTTTCAGGTTCATGGTTTCCTTCATTAATGAATTCAGAAATTACAGTTAAACAATATGACATTTCACCAATCAAGGCTTTCAGTGACAAGCTTTTAAAACGGTTTTCAGGGTCATTGAAGTGTCGCTTTCCCACGACAGACGAGGAGAAGTGAGCACTTAGGTCTTCATAGACCTTTACACTACATTACTCAGCAGGAACAACCTGCTCGTGTTCTTTTTAAATCCTTAATTAACTAGGCACACTGACTGAGAACATTCTCTGTTTACTAAAATGACCTGAGGCAGAAGCTGGAGACGTAAAAGCCATTAGGCGTCAAGTGGATCAGGATATTTCTCAATTTGAAAACAAATGCATTCAGATCCTGTGCAGTGCAATGAGCCTGCTTTAGTGTCTGAGTCATGTAATGAAGGGAGGGACAATGTTTCTCTTTAAATGAATGTTTCTGGATATTTTTGAGTATTTCTTCTAATAAGTAAGGACGTGGTAATTCCCACTTAGTTTTCTAGACACTATCCACCTAATTGTATCACCACTAATGAATGTGAATTCATTTGGCTTATGTTCTCCAGCTTTGAGTGAATCTTTCTACACCTTTCACTATAAATATATATATATATACACACATACATACACACACACAAGCTAATGTTTGATTTGTAATGTTAGTGAAAAAGTTGCCCAACTCTGAAACTAAAGTAAAATCAAGATTACCTTGTCATTTCATGCCTGGTGGGCAAAACTAAAACCTTCCATGAGAGGAACTTGTACAAATACTGTGTGTGAATCTGAGGGATTATTTAACTCTTGCCTTTTTTTTTCTCCCACTGCTGCTGTTTTACATCCACACAACCACACTCAAGCCCTCAGACAAACACAGACTGAGTGGTATTGCTGCAGGGTTAGTGTAAACATGTCAGGATAAACAGGAAGAAGAGACCTTGAATCTATTAGTGCAGGAAACTCCTCTGCATATACACATACAGTATATTCACCTGATTTCACATATCACAAGAATGTGGAGGGAATGGGAACGATTATTTTTTTATCGGTCCCAACATGATAATCTGCTCCTGCTTTTTCAGACATCTCCATAACAACAGAATTAACGAGATAGGAGACAACTGCTTTGCCGGACTGTTGAACCTGGAGACCCTGTAAGTGGACCTTGTTCGTACAGCGTGCATCGGTTCAGTGTTTGTGCTTGTGTGTGCTAGCAGCTCCCCCCACCCACCTCTGCCCCAGTCCTCCAGACATCATTGTGTCCACTTCCTCCTGTAATTGCTCTAGAATAAATAGAGCAAAGTACACGATGCTTATCAAATCTGCCCTCCCACTGTTCTCTTCCTCCTGCCACACAGCCGCACCAAATGGCAAAGACTCTACTTTACAACACACAGACACAAGTTTTTTTAATCCAAACCTCCAATGTGATACATTTGAAATGAATGCCCTGTCCCAATTTCTCTCCCTTGGACCTCCCTCCTGGATATGAAGTGCCCGTCGTTGGGAATGTCCCCTCTTAACCCAGTCTGTCACTCAGACTGTTTACATGCTTGTTTACCGGCAGCCGTCACCATGTTACATTTCTGTCTACCACTTGGTTGAAGGGGTGTTTGAAGGGCTAGATGGCTACTACCTATACATCACACGGACAATCAAGAGATCTTAAGCTGCTCTCAGACATGCACTGAAACAGATCTATTGTTATTTAAGATTTTGAACGTTTAATATTTTGAGGAGATTGAGCTGCGAAAAGTAGGTTTGGTAAGAATCAAAGAAAACTACGTATATCCTGATTTGATTACTACATGGACAGAAAATGAACATCATTTTAGTGATGTATGATTGTAATTACATATCTAGCAATGTCGTCACTATTAATAAGTGTGTGATAATGAACTGACCACAGAAACAACCAAATAACTCAAAACTGAAATCGTAGACATTTTTTTTCTGGCTTGAGAGGGATGGATTTGTTTTGACATAAGGAAACTGCACTGACTGATTCCCTGTGTCTCTGTGTTTCACCCCAGAGATCTGAACTTCAACAACATGATGGTTTTTCCCAAAGCTATCGAGGCTCTGCCCAAACTGAAGGAACTGTGAGTGCATCATCCTGTTTCTGCTGCGGGGAGGAAATGTTTTCTACTTTTGTTTTGACAGGTTCAATCGTCGGAGCATGGCTTTTTTCAGCATCTTAAAGTTTTTATGTGATTTTTAAAAAAGACACATTTTTGACAAAGTAGCTACGAACTAAAAACAGTTGTATGCTGTCCCTATTATTAATAAGTGAATGAGTAAAAAAAAATAAAATAATACACATATCAAGTAAAAATGTTTCAGCATTTGTGCTTTTATGTTGAAGACTAAATGCATCAAGTCTTACTTGCTGCGCTTCCTGATCAGCAAATAGTTGTATTCAAATTATTTAAATCAATTTAGGGTTTTCTGTAACAGACTTTGATAGTTGTTGACACCTTTTTTTTCTGTTTAATTTAATTTAAAACTCTGTTTTTTGTATCATTACATATAAACTTGTATGATGGAATTCATGTTGAGCAGCGAGTCTTTACAATGTCTCTCTCACCTTCTTCCTGCAGCGGTTTTCACAGCAACGATATTGCCTCCATACCTGAAGGGGCCTTCCATAACAACCCCCTGCTGCGAACCATGTAAGGTCAAACTCCCCCTCTGAGTCATTGACACACTCACAGCTCAGTACACTTACATGCACATTGCACACACACACACACACACACACACACACACACACACACACACACACACACACACACACAGTTTAAGATGACATGGGACACGAGTGTCAGGCCTCAGTGGTTGAATGTCCAGAAGATGGTGCCATTCTTGCACAGTGAATGATTTTTGGTTTGAACTCTTCCCCTCTGCTCTCGATGCCCTCAGACATCTCTATGACAACCCTCTTTCCTTCGTGGGCGCCACAGCTTTCCAGAATCTGTCCGACCTGCACTCCCTGTAAGTCCCACCGTCAGCACAGTTCCTGACAAATCACACATCAATGCTTGTTTTAAAAGGTCCCTTTTTTGACATTTGACTTATTTTAATATTCGTCACGGTGTTTTTCAGGATGTTGCGTGGGGCTAGTATGATGCAGGACTTCCCCATCCTGACGGGGACCAATAACCTTGAGAGTCTGTAAGTGAATGTGGACTAAGATGCAACATCTGTGGTTTGTTTTGTTTTGTGTCTCAGAAGTGACTTATGAGGTTTTTTATTTCCAGGACCCTGTCAGGAACCGAGATATCATCCACCCCCGCTGATCTGTGTGACGATCTCAAGTTGCTCAGAACGCTGTAAGAGACTGAACCTTTCTTCTCATTAGAAAAGTATTTATGTTCTTAGGAACTAAAGCTTGTTCGGTAAACAATTGTTGTGTTACTGCTGCCCACAGAATTTAGATTACATATAATACTAAAATGTGGCATTTAGTATGTGCGTCTACAGACTAATCAATCTCACAAAGTGGAAAATGTCTTTATTCTTTCATATGAATGTGTCCCAGTTGTCTGATAGTTGAAACCTTTCCTCCATCAGAGACTTGTCCTACAATGAGATCGAGGGGCTGCCGTCCCTGCAGGGCTGCGTCCGACTGCAGGAGATGTGAGTGTAGAACACGTTCATTTTACAAATGATTTCAGTTAAGGATGGTAAAGATGAATAAAACGACTCATATTTTAAGATACAAATTACAAACAAGCTAATAAAGGTGGTTATCTGCTTTTTTATGACCTGTTATGATTCTTGTTTAAATCTACAGAAGCTTTCAGCACAACCATATTCAACAAATTGAGAGAAACACTTTCCAGGGTCTCTCTGCTCTACGTTTACTGTAAGTCCACTCAGTGACACACACTCAGTGACACACACTCAGTGACACACACTCAGTGACACACTGCTACAAAGCTCTTATGTCTGGACTGTGAGTTGAATGCATTTTGATTTTACACAGAGACCTGAGTAGGAATGAAATCCGAGTCATTCACCCAGATGCTTTCCTCACCCTCACTGCACTCACCAACCTGTGAGTATGACCAGTGTTATTCATCATAATGAGTACAGTCTCCAGTTACATGTCATTGTTTGGTTTTAAATGTCTGCGTTGTACAACTTTAAATTGCTTGTGCGTGTGTATTTTTTGTGCAGAGATCTGAGCATGAACTCTCTGACTGTGATTCCAACAACTGGACTCAGCGCCCTCAGTCAACTTAAACTCTCAGGGAACCCACAGATGAAAAATGTGCTGACTGCAAAAAACCTTCCCAAACTCAGGTGAGGAGGAAATTCTGTGGCCTCAACGTCTCTTGTCTGGAGTAGAAACATTTAACACCAGATCTTGTGGTTTGGGCTTTAAAGCACTGACTACAACTGTTTTCTGACGTTCACTCTGGGAAACTTCAGGAAAATATCAGGACTGAAGAGTATCTCTGAAAGCAGCTAAAGTAATAGCAATTTTCCAGGTTCTATTCAAGCCAGTGACCTTTGGTGGGTTATTAAACATCTGTCTCCTCCATTAATTCTCTGCTGTCACTGTCTGACACAAAATACTTTTTAAAGTAAATATTTAAAAGATATTTGTAGAAAAGTATTAAACTAAGCAGTTGATACAAAGGAATTGTTTTTGACCACATAAATGGTCAATTTATAATTTGGAATGAATTAAATTCTCTGAACAAGGTCCTCTCTGGTTCTTTGATATATAAGGGATATTATCGATCTTTTCCTACATTACAAAATATTATAGTAATATATTTAATACAGTCGTTTATTTTATTTTTCTCACTTTAGTGAGAAAAACACAATAACATTTCTATGTGTTTTATGAATAAACTAATATTTAATGTATTTCTTTATTATGTTTTGTCATTTCACCCATTTCTTATAAATGACTTATATTTTTCACAGGAGAGAAAACATTACTGGGAATTTCCTGCCGATTAAAAAAAAATGTCCTTGTTACTCTATGTGATTACACATCTGTTACTGAAAACTGCACCTCATCACTTAACTTTAATGAGAAAACCAGCCGAGTCTGTTTTCTTCACAACTGTAGACACACTATGGAAACATCCAAATATTATTATTGAAAAGAAATCAGAATGGCCAGGTATTTGCAGACAAACACATTATTTATACTTTTTCCAGTATGGTTTGAAGATTCCAGAGCATCTGTATTATCACCACTGGAACCTCTGCAGGACTTTACAGCCTCTGTGAATGATGATCGTTTGTTTGTAGGTCCATCTCTGTCCCGTACGCCTACCAGTGCTGCGCATTTGTGGGATGTGACTCAGTGACGAGCTCCTCTGAGGAAAATGACATAAAGAAATCTACAGGTGGGAATTCTGCATTCAGAGCCGAGACTTTTTATGTGCTGGCTTAACTTAAGACGAGCAAATATCAGATTTAGATGTTGGACTTACAGTGGCTTTCCTTTTTTATTTTAGCCTGTATACTTTTTTTCATTGTACAACATCAAATTTTAAATACTCACCTGGGTTTCTTACTTGTCTTGGAAAATGCACAGTTGAAGGAAATTCAAGGAGAAAGTGTGTACTTTGGTTTTCCGTGCACGACTTGATTTATGTGATCTGTTAAAGTTCAAGATCATTCAGCTTGACTTTATCTCTGCTACAGATGTTGACACTTTTTGTCAAGCCGACTTTTTAGGATTGTCTTTTTAACCTTTGCATTCCTCATATATCTTTTATTTTCTGTTGTTTTAGCAGGGGAGGATGTGGAAAGAATCTCGATGATTATGCACTGCTCTCCTTCACCAGGTAACCACATCTTTTCATTGTATTTTATGAATCACATTTTCAGAGCTTTGAAATAATAGTGTCATTTTTTTCATCACCACATTGTTTCAGGAGCTTTTAAGCCGTGTGAGCATCTCCTGGGTAACTGGATGATTCGTTTGACGGTCTGGTTCATCTGCCTGGTGTCGTTGGTCTTTAACGGGCTGGTGCTGGTGGCCACCTTCTCCCCCACACACCGAGCTCCAGGCCATTCCCACTCCCTGACTCCGTCTCTCTCTCCAGCCAGGCTGCTCATGGGGCTGTTGGCGTTGGCCAATCTGCTCACAGGTGTGTATGTCGGCGTGCTGACTGTGCTCGATGTTGCTACCTGGGGCTCCTTCGCGGAGTTCGGAGTGTGGTGGGAGATCGGGCCTGGCTGTCAGATCTCAGGAGCTCTGGCCGTCTTCTCGTCAGAGTGGGCGGTCTTGTTACTGTCCCTGGCGGCCGTGGAGCGCAGCGTGGCTGTGCGGACTATTCTCGGTAAAGTAATGATGTCGCCCAGGAGGAACTGTAGCAGCCCTCAAGGATGTTGGAGAGGAGGTCGACGCTTCAGCCTGGCTGCAGGACTACTGGGGCTCCTGGCTGCTGCTGCGGCCTGCCTGGCGCTCCTGACCGTCAGCGACCAGTCGGCCTCTCCTCTCTGCCTGCCCTTCGCTGGTGGCGAGAGTCCAGCTCTGAGTGTCACCGTGATTCTGGTGCTGCTCAACGCGCTGGCGTACCTGTTCACTGCAGCAGTGTATACTCAGATGTACTGCCACCTGGGCAGGGTGGAGCTGGCAGATCCAGAGCAGACGGGCGCCTTGCGACATGTTGCCTGGCTCATTTTCACCAATTGCATCTTCTTCTGCCCTGTGGCAGCCTTCTCCTTCGCCCCCCTCTTGACTGGCTCTACAGCTGGCGGCCCAGAGATCGCCAAGTCTGTCACCCTCATTTTCTTCCCACTGCCTGCGTGCCTGAATCCAGTGCTGTACGTATTCTTCAGCCCGGCCTTCAGGGAGGACTGGCTGAGACTACGTGGTCGCAGAGGTTTGACCAGAGAGGTGAAGGCTGGTGCTGAGAATCACGGAGATGATGGTGGAGGAGGGTCGGAGCTCACGGATGGAGGCTCCTCCACCCAACTGGGCTTTGACTGTGGGGTGTACTCACAGCTCTGTGGAGAGACAGTTGTATGTGAGCGGTGTGAGGCAGCGCTGCATGCCAGGACCTGCTCTTCCCCCTCGTCCTCCACAGTCTGCAGACACTTGGTGAAGTCTCACAGTTGTCCCACCCTCATGGCGGGAGCAGCAGTGTGCCAACGTGCCGAGGGGTTCTGGGCAGACAGCGGCACGCCCTCTGCTCAGTCGGAGTATGCAGATGAGGGGGACTCGTTTGTGTCGGACAGCTCGGACCAGGTTCAGGCCTGTGGCAGAGCGTGCTTCTGTCAGACCAGAGGCCTTCCTCTCGTACACTACTCATACAACATACCTCGGGTCAAGGACTAAGAACGCTTCAGAACTCCACTGTGTGCACAGATCTCTCCGTCATGTGAATTTAGGTCCTACAAGAATATATAAACATTTTTTATTGGACAACAAAATGTGCCAACTACCCTGTTGAAAGACTCTTCAGCAAGCACTTATGTAAACACAGATGCAACCAATCATTCAAAGGGAACTTGGAACTTGTCTGATTGAGCTGAAATGAGCACATTGTGTCACAAACTGGTCAACAAAGGACCTTGCAAAGGAAAATGTTGCCACCAGTGCCTTCCTCTTGCTTTCGTGTGGATATCATGTGTCGATTTATGTGTCAGAGATTTTGTGATTTATCTTTTCCCTGTTATTCGAAGCTTTTTAAATTTGATTTTTTTTTTTCAATTTTATACTTTGATTTTTAAAAGATATAAATGTAGCAAAATGTAGTAATTATCCTAGACTTTTCTGTTTGAATGTAACTTCCAGGTGGTTTTCACCCACCAGAATAATGTCAGCAATGACTTTTGGCCTTACTGCCTGCGATCAGTGAGGATGATGAATGTCATTCTGTTATAAAAACAACTTCTTTGCTTTAAGTTACTAAGACTAAGAATGTGATGAAAGTAGCAGATATCACTGTTAAAGCAACAACCATGCTTGGTGGGTTTGAAAGATGTTATTTATTGCGTGAGCAGCAGGAGTTTCTGGGTGGAGATGATTTCAGGTGTTTAAAAGGCTGCCTCTGAATGATGAATATACAACAGAAACATAGCATTTGCCAAAATAGAAGCACCTCTTTTTTAAATTGTTAACAAAAATATAATTACAGGGTTAGGTCATTACTTTTTTAAATCTCCTTATTTCTGATCGTTTTCTATCATGCTCTTTGATTCGGATCAAAACTCTTCTCTTTATCTCAAACAGCACAAAACCCACAGATATTTCTTTTGTTAAGTAAAGTAGCACTTAAGTGCATTCTGCTTTTATCTAATGTTCACATCATTTTTGGCTGACACAATAATCATTGACTTGATGCTGCACTGAATACAGTAGCTTCAAAAACCAAAGGATTAAACAAACAAGATATAGCATGATAAATAATGAGATTTGGTGGTAAGTAAGTAGATTTCTTTCAGATAGACTAATGCTAGCCCCTTCCAAGCTCTATGCTAAGCTAAGTGTCTAAGTTTGAGAAGTATTGCTTTTCGTGTCTAACTCTGGAAATGAAAAGATAATATTTGCCAAATGTTCCTAAAGAAAAAAACCTTAGTTTTATTTTACCCCATAAATTGAAAAATCTTCAAGAAGTTTAAAAACATTATCATGAGATGAGTGATTGGTTGATTTAAAATCCATTTAAAATACTATGATGGTAATACTTCCACCAAAGCCCAACAGTCCCTTTAGATTCACTCAAGTTGCTAAACATTCCCCTATCACGACCATGAATTATTCCCTGGGAAAAATATCAAAGAACGTCCCATTTTGCAATGTAAAAGACATCGACAAGAAAATTCCTGGATCCACAAAAATCTTTTATAGATTCTTCTAAAGCGCATCCCTCCACCAATTTTCCTAGAAATCTGTGCTGTTGTTTTTGTGTAATCCTGCTTACAAACCAACAAACACTGTGATCTGAATGTATTCCCACTCCTCCACCTCCAGCAACATGAACCCAGCACGAGCCTCCCAGCCATCTGAATCAACAAGTTGTCATTACAATGGTTATTCGATCACAGATTTAAAGACAAGTATCTACAGTGATTTTACATTTAAATCATTTCTTTGTGTTTCTATGTATCTACATTTTGACCAGAAAAAATGGGCACGATAGAAAACGAGGCCTATCTTGAAAACGAGTAGTTCACTGTCTCCGTTGTTTTTGAAATCCAGCTTCATTATCGGTGAATGACTCTTGAAACTTTCTGCATCACCTTTTTATTCTTTATCGTCCAGTTTTATCGAACATGTCATCAGAAGCTGTAAAGCATAGAAATGTAGATTCTCTGAGTGATACTGTGAGTGACGAGGGATCGACTGATGTGTGGTGTGCCTGTGACTGTTCACATTATGGTGGATACACCCTCGGAGCGTGTATCCACAAGTGCACGTCATGTGAGTGCTCAGGAATTTGGGCAATGTAGGGAAACGTTATCCTCCACTGACATGTCATTCATGCCCTGATGATGCACCGTTTAATCGACATCTCTGGTTTTTATTTTCTGTTTTCACATGGTCTCGACTGGGTGTAAATTCTTGCACCAACCAAATGTCCGTTGATTGTTTGTACATTTTCATCAGATGGGACATCAGACATGTCAAATATTTTATTGGTTTGGTTATTGGTTTCTCTTTGTATTTGTATGTAAATTATTTGAAAAGATAACAAGTAATCAAGAATGGGATGCTAACTAAGGAAGCTACCTCCTCGACTGTAGTGGCTACCAGCAGTGCTTTGTAAGAGAATAGTCTATTTTCATTTGTTGTTGCTCTTTGTTTGCATTCTCAGCTTTATGTTGACACGTGGTTGTACATCATCATTTTAGTTTAAGAGCAAATTGTGGGAGGAATCTATGTACTATAAGCTGTGATTTTATTTTTTGAATCAAAACATAGACTATGAATTGTTTTCTGTTTTACCTTTTTTTAGACACAAACCTGCAGAGTAATACAGCTTATGAAAAAAAATATCTATCTTAATTTCAATTCAAATTTAATCTTATTTGTCTCCCCAAGTTGTTTTTTTATTCTGTTCAAGTAGCCAAATAATTCTACATTGTGTATGAATAAAATTGGACAAAAACGATCTTATTTTTTCCTTTTTGTTCAGATTGCGACAGAGCCCTGACCTTTGTCTTCATCAGGTACATTTTAAACAAAAAATATTATTATTATAAATAAAGCTGAAATATCCTGGATAGGGAGGCTGCAATCTTAGGGTTTGGACGTCATTGGGAGTCTGTGTAGTAGCGATGATGAAGTGGAGCCACAGTATGAAGGTCCTGAGCTCGACCAATTGTGAGTTGCCAGCTGTTATTTCTTTCCATTTTTATAGCATCAAATAGCTAATTTATCCAGAATATAAAGGCAAATGGTGAACAGCAAATAAATCATTGTCATTATTTCCAGCAATTTTAACATTTGCAATTATTAATTATGTGAATTAACGCATGACTAATTATAATTAATATTCTTCTGAAACAGGTCATTCTGCATAGTGAGTACCTTGAATAATATTTGGCTGCATGGCTTGAAGTATTAGTCTAAGTATATTGTACCATAGATTGTGTATAAATATCAACAATGAATCTTCACCTCCTCCAACTTCAAAGAATGAAGCCAAAAATATCCGGGATACAAAAACTGACATCTCTTGCATTTTCGCCTTTTTGTTTTAGTCCAGATGTCATTCATTAACATGGAGGAAAACGGGGCGTGTGGACTTGGCTTCACTTTTAGGAAGCTGTCATGTCATCCATCTTCAGTCTGAGCTGTTGTTACATGTACTTAAGTAAAAGATTCTTCCCCCTACCAATGCTAATGTTAGCATTTAGCCTGAAGCAGCTTTGTGTTTAGCCTCACGAAGCTGCTAGTGTCGTTGCTCTCACACTTGTTGAACTATTCTCAATTGAACGTGGCCTTGCAACATTATTTTAAGGCTGTGGAATTCAGAGCCTGTTGACATGTATGAGACTATTTAGTGTCAATAAGTGGAGTTGCTTCCACTGTTGCTGCCTTCACTCACGTACATGAGCTGTAACTTGGTGATGAGTGAGATAAAAAACCTCTGGGATTATAGAAGGAATCGGACGTGAGATTTGATGAGTCCTGTTTAGCTTTGAACCATGTAGACGTTTCATTTTGAATTTGTGGATTCCGGTGACGTCTCATGTCAAAACATCTGGCACAGACGGTGGCGCTGCGAGACGTGGGTCATGTGTGTTAACAGAGATGCAGTGAAGGGTACAAAGCTCGCTGAATGTGTTGCAGCTGTATGCCGAGGGGGGGGCACAGGAAATATTTACATCCAAGGCATCAAAGGAGAAACTGTTGAGTGATGTTCCTTCAGACCCTGCTCGACAAGCGCCGCCATGTGTTCTATGTAGTTAGCAGTAAAAAGGACATCCCACATATTCCAACCATTCACCGACATCCCTGCGAGGTGTGCACATTAGTCACATGCCTCACCCCACAGGGTTTACTGAGGCTTTGTTACAATAAAACTAAGCCCTCGACAACTCTCATCAACACCACTCTCTGACAATCGGCAGCGTGCTCTCTACATCTTCCTTTTTAACATTGCTGCTGCCGTTATTGTGATCAGTCAGTTTCAGGAGCTGCAGCGTGTACAAGTACTGAAACACCGTGACATAACGCCACTACTGTATACACGACAAAATCAAATGTTTGTTTTTGAAACTTTTATATGCACATCAATCAATCACACAAACATAATCCAAGGATGACAACTCATTAACATTGCCGTTGTCTATTATCCATATTTCTACACAGTATTTACTCGATCTAGTTTTTGAAATGACAGAGAAATCAAGTGACAAACCATAGTTTTCTTCTTTTTTTTTTTTAAATAATACATAAATACTTTCACCATGAGCCCAGTCAGTGGTTCACATAATGGGAACATAACAGTGAGGATGACTTAATGCAGGATGTTGAAGATGAGAGATGTGGTGCAAACACAAACAGGTGAAGACACTGGTGAAAAGTTTCTCATGACACAAAACAGACGACGTTCAGGAGTCAACTTGCTGGAAACAGATCGACCTTCTCCTCAGTCGGCAGCTCAAGCCTCTTTACTTTCAGCCTTCTTTTCTTCTTTAGCAATTTGAGCTGCAAGGCAGGAACAATTATGAAGCCAATGATGAATGAACTGCTCAAAGTTAAACTTAAATGTTCTTTTTAAAACAAACAATTTAGATTTGTTTCGTTCACACAAGCAGTGGAAACAAGGTGTTGTTCTTTTTTTTTCATAAAATTAGAAGCACACTGATCTTTGCAGGAATCTTTTCAGGAATTATTTTTTATGGAAACTAGCAGTAGGGTGAACCCCGTGCTTCCACTTCTGGATCCAAAATCTTGAACCAATCTCATTCTTGAGTTTGTACGATTTTATAATGAATTTAGTGGCCGTGATATGCAATTTTAGAAATGCCAACATAGGAAGACTTAAGTAAATAGTTCTAGATATTATCACATGTACACTAAAGCTTTGATATTTTGTCATTTCTGCGTTGTCTAAGTGGGTCATAAAAAAAGAGGACACACATGTTTCTGCCTGTTACACTGAGATTGATACTTACGGCGAACCTCCAGTTTACACTCCACTACGTCCTCTCCGCTGTTGTTGACAGCTTTGCACGTATACACCCCTCCGTCGAAGGTACAGGGCTTACGTATCTCCAGTGTCAGGATGCCTTGCTTACTGAGCATTCGGTACTTGGCTTCATTGGTGATGTCCATCTTGTTTTTGTACCAGGTCACTTTGGGCTAGTAAGGTAGATAAAGAAAATATAACAGTACAGTTTTACCACCTGCAAGGCCACATATTATTTATCAGAGGTTCATTAAGGACAATCATAATCTCTACATTTATCTAGATACTGATACTGTTTACAAATCTAAAAAATGCATGTCTCTAGAGATGTCAGTTGTAATGACCACTGACCTTTGGTATGCCTCTGACTGAGCAGCTGAGCGTTGCGTTGTATCCCGCAATGACAGAACGGTTCACTAGAGGATGTGTGAATTTGGGAGCCTCTGTGAAGTCAGGGTCCTTGTAGCTGGGCGGCTTGTACTCGATACCTGAGGAGGCAGAGAGCATTTATGAAGACCATTCAGATTTCACATAGAATGTAAACAGCAGTAACTGCTTATATTATTATGCATGCAGTCAGATCCCACCTGTTTTCTGGATGTAAGCGCTGTCCTTTGTTTCGCAGGCCTCGGAGCTGAGGCCCACCAGGTTGTTGGCAAAGGCGCGGAAGATGTACTCATTCCCCATGATGAGGTCAGACGCAATGCAGTTTGTTCGCCTGTACTGATCGAAGACTGTAAACCACTCCTGCAGAGGAATACAACAGTTCAAACACATGCAGGTAATGCTTAATTGCACATAGGTGTAAAACTAAGGATGAGTGGTTGTTTATATTTCGGCCCTGTGACGCAGCCTGTCCACTATGTACCCCACCTCTCGCCCACTGTCAGCTGGGATTGGCTCCAGCTCAAAAATATGAGTGGTTTGTAGCTAAGGATATATTGACTAATAATATGATGGTTAATTCAATTAGATTTCCTTTGTTGATTTAATTTTAAAATAGCCTAATAATCTACCTGGAACTTAAGAAGTTGCTCAACATTTTATACTTATTTATTCAATTAGGATGATACAAGAATGAAACAGGATATTGGTGGCTTTAAAGTACATGTGCCCTCAACACTTTCATCTCTGACATCTAACAGGTACACAGTATACGTTGTTATTGGTAACACGATGATCAACATCCCCAGGCCCGCTATAAAGAGATGCAAATGAAATTAATTTGATCTAATAATGACTACAGTGAAACCTGAACCGTCGCCGAGCCGGGCAGTAGAACAATGGTCCCTGCGTCACTGCACTGACGATCCAGACCAGGTCAAGGCTGCGAGGATAAGATTAGGACATTCCTGCTCGCCGTTGTTCCTGGCATCTCGCGGTAGAGGATGGTGACAGCTGGAGCTCTTGCCAACAAGCCCATAAAGTATCACTCCTGCTCCACAAAGGAGACTGTGTGCTCAGCACTGCCTGATTACTGTGAATGTGCCACAAGAGAGGCTAAAATACCCCTCTGTGTCCCTGCAGCATTCATCCTCCCACATGTTCACCTTCACTCATGTGTGTTAACAGAACAGGCTCATTAATGTGACCTCACAGCAGCTCAGTTGGTGTCTGTCAGAAGTAAAACTAAAGGAGCTGCAATGGATCTGTTTCAGGGAATAAGAAAGCAGGAGCTATAATGACATGGTGGCCACTGCCTTCCTCTGAGGAGACCTCTTGGTTTCCTGTAACCCAGACCTGACTTGAGATCAGAGTAGGTTCCACATCAGAGTAGGTTCCACATCCGTCGACCACTATGGCCCTCGTGACATAAATGTTGTCGTCCACCCACGTCAGCCAGGGTAGAACCGGAACTCTATGTGATGTCCACGTGTAGACCAAGCTGAATGTATTACTCGTGGTACAATATATCCACTGACTAGAAATCAAACGTGGAATCAGTTGCACATGTAGGACCGAGATGAGCAGATAAAGGAACATGGAAAGTATGGTCAACCCCTAAAACCCTTGCATGGAACATTCTATGGTTCCGTACATGTATATTATCAGAGGGTTGAGAGTTGATGTAAAAACTATTCAGTTTCATCAATGAGAATTTTGTTTTCAGTTTCATTCGGACGTGAGCCTCACCATGGTTTTCTTGTCAGCTTTCTGAACAGTGTAACCAGTGATTTCACAGTTACCATCATCTTTAGGCGGTTTCCACTCAAGCGCCACATTGAAGCCCCAGATATCCATGATCTTCAGAGCCTCAGGAGGCCCGGGGAGATCTGCAGAGGAGAGAGACTGAATGAATTCTGCTCCACTGTAACTGCTGCTACAGTTACCACGAGGCTGATTTACTCCTGTAAATACCCACAGCTCTCCACATGTTCACTCCTGCTTACCAACAATCTGCAGATTGATACTTGCTGTGTCTTCCACGTTTTCAATCTGCACGTGGAGATCATACTTCCCCGAGTGTTTTCTCTCCGTCTTGCGGATGAAGAGGATCGTGTCTAGGTCGCTGTTCCTCACATTAGCGAATGTAGCATTTAGAGGCTCCCCGTCTTTGCTCCATGTAACCTTTGGCCTTGGCTTCCCCTGCACGACCAGAAATGACAAAACAACAGTGTCACTTCAAAACTCATGTGCCAGTTTACTAATGACAGATGGACAGTCAATCTTTAAACAACATACACGTGACTGAAGTATGTTGTTATTACTGTTATCAGTAATGATCTAATAAAAACTAAAGGTGTCTATATATTTTTCATGTTCCAACTATGAAAGTGATCAACTTTTTAATTATTATTTGTGATGTTTACTTCACCTGGAATGGAATCATAAGGTTGACTGTGTCTCCAACTTTCTTGATGAGAGTCTGGCGGAGATTTCTGGGAAGCCAAATTTTGGGGCGCTCTGTGAAAATAGAAAACAGAAAACACAAAGTCTTGAACTGGAAAAGATCCAAACAAATGAAGATGGATGAAGTGAGAGAAGTTCAGGAATGAGATTAAATGAGAAGAAAGGTTTGACTACGATGCCAGTGTGTCGTATGTGTTAAATTCTTTCTATTGAGTGCTTTACATTACTCCAACATATGAATTAACGTGATAGATACCATTAAACAACAGTTGTCCAGCAGCATGAATCCACATCTACTCACGCATAATCTCTCTGATGGTGACGGGATTAGCCAGGGTGGAGGGAGCGCTGGGTCCCGCCATGTTGAAGGCTCGAACACGGAACTGCAGCTTGTCCCCGGTGGTGAGACCCCTGACGATCAGTGATGTCCTGTCAGTCAGACCCTCCATGGCTGGTATCCACTCATCAGCTGTGACCACAACACACATGGTTCACCGGAATGCAAATGTCACTATAGACTAAACATTAAAATTACAGGTAGGTGTTCAATTGAGCCTTTATGTTGTGATTAGATGTGTATCATTTCTTCAAAGATTGTACTGCTGTTGTTGGGCTTTGAGCTCAGATTTTAATTTGCTTTCGTGCACTTTTTGTGTTCGTACTTGCCTTATCTTCATGTTCAGTAACGATGAAACGTCACAAATCATTATAAATTTAAACATAATGGACTTTTCTGGCGGTTTGGAGGAGAGATCCAATGCTGCATGTCAGTGTGTGACTGGTTTGTTAAACCTGAACTTAGATGATGTAGCCTTTAAATAAAATACTTTCTTATCAATCGGATGCAGATGTTGGCTCTAGCACTTACTGCCCTCCTTGCAGTACTCAACCCCATAACCCTCGAGTTCAGCCGAGCCGATCCTCTCAGGCGGCCGCCACTTCAGCGATATAGAAGTGTCACTGATGTCGTCAACACATAGTCCGATGGGCTCACTCGTGGGGGCTGAGAGGGCAGAAAGATTAGCTGTTAGAGCATCAGTGCACTCATCTCAAGACTGATTACTGATGAAATAGATGAACCTGATCAGGAATTGACAAATTAAAGGAATAAAACCCTTCCCTAAGCTTTTAACAGAAAACAGTGTGTCATTTCTATCACCATCACCAATTATAACTTTACTTTTGTCATTCGCTTGACGGTTTCATTTCAAACATACAGTGAATTCATGAACCGATCTCAAAAGAAGGCAGTGTAAAGAAGGTTTTTAAATGGAGTTGTTTGTAGATTTATTGACATGTAATTTTAGTCTGTGATGCTTTCAGTGGCAACACCAACGCAGTTGCTGTACCTGAAGAACCGGCTTTATTCACAACATGCAAATTATTCTTATGGTTTACGAGAGTGTGACTTATCAGTGACTTATCTGTTATTAATGCCTTTCAGTTTTTCCTCAGCTTTAAATGCATGCTTTTAAAGGTTCAAGATTAACTTTGGCTTGGGTTCTTGCCCAATGCTGCAACCATAAAAATACACATAGGCATCTGCACTTACGTCATAAAACAAACATGCATGCATCCTTGTACAAGCAGCATTTCAAGCTCCATATGTAACAGAGATAATGTACATTCATCCATTATCTGTACCACTTTGAGGGTCATGCAGGAAGCTGCAGCCAATCCCAGCTGACATTAGAAGATAGTCGTATCACAGGACCAACATACAGACAAACAACCAGAAAATCCACACAGAAAGACCCTGGTTGAAGGATTCAAACGGGGAACCTTCTCGGTGTGAGGCAACAATGCTAACCAATGTTTCACCGTTCGACCCCCTAAAACAACAACGTCCCTTTAATCAGACAACAAAAGTAAGCAAGTCAAACACAAACACAGACAAAATGATCAAGAGTGTAGAAGGGTGTCTTTTTTATGTACATACTTGAAAATGTTTCCATTATATAAAATGTTTATGCTTTTTATTTACTATGTTATGCTAGTTCTACATTTCCATTTTATTTAAAAACAGACTTGATTATGATGGTCCCACATGAATTTCTTTATTAGATATTTGTGTCATCAGTATTGAACGCCACATGGGCGTACAGTTGATTAGCCTCTAAGCCTGTGTGTGGTATCTTTTATCATCCTGGGAAAGATGAGCCGTCTGACCGAGATGCTGAGCCGACGTCCCTCAGGGATAAAATGACACGATTTAAGTTCACTTTAAAAGACTTCAGTTCATCAGCCACATCTGACGCATTGCTTCCACAACACACGCTCTAAGCAGCCGATGTTACCACAAATTCTAGCAGCTCAGTTTAGGGCTTAAGAAAAGACTCCACTCAAGAAAAAAAGAAGTGAAAGATTCAATATTATTACTTTCAACCTTGGGATTTTTGGACCTGTGGTCTCATTTACAAGCTGTAGAGGTCAGGTTGAACAATGGAGGAGCAGAGTACATGTAGAATAGAAAACTAATAGATGATGGAATAATCCTTTATTTGAGGTAGCAGTCAAAGCAAATGTGGAGCAGTGACCTCAACCCAGCAAGCAGCTTCATACATTTATATTTTAACAGCTGAGCGAGATTGATTTAAACAAATAAAGAAAAGCTACAGAAAAATCCACTAAAACAAGATCCCAGTGGTCCCTGTATAATACACACTACCACTCACTGTGAATATACAAGTAAAGAATCCTCCCAAGACAACAAAGATATATTTCCGGGTTAATATTTAGTCCACCTTGTTGCAACAACATGTTGACAAGATGACTGAGTGAAAGGTGCTAAATTTTAGTTGGGGCATGAATAGGGCCAGGATGTCAAGGCACTGGACAAGGGCACTGCAACAACACAGTGCAAGCATATGATGGGAGCACCTGTCAGAGGTCAAGGGTTTACATGTGTGTAGAAAGTCGCCACAGCAGGGGTTGTTTAAAAATGGTAGCCTGGTCTTCATGTGTAAAGTGCAGAGGTAATTTCTTTAAGATGTTTTTAAATACAAAATAAAACGAAACATCTGCTATGTGATTACCAAATTATGCTGAAAGGGAAATTCTGGTATTTTTCAGCTTGGGCCCTTTGTTTATAAATGTGGGTGTTTAAATTAATGATACTCACAAAAACTTTAGGAATCAGTCCAGTAGATCGCCTCTGCTGGCAGCTGGAACACGGCAGCACTGTTTACAATGCAGTCTTATTGGGTAGCTGCAAAAGTCCACGAAATATCCACTAAAAGTTGTTTTCTTGCTGATAAAAGGCTCCAATTGTTATTCTGAATCCCTACCAAGAGGCTGGCAACATTCCACATCAATGAGAAGCTTTACTCTCAAGTCCAGCAGTGGCTGCAATGTAATCTTATGGGGCAACTGCGACAATTATAGGCTCAAATTGTTCTTCTGGGTCTTTTCTAAGACTCTGAATGCTGTCAGCTACTCAGATTCTAAAAGTTTTTGTACCATTCATATGCAAACCCACTATTAAACACAATAAATTCTATTTTCTATTTCGGAAATCTACATAATAAACCAACATCCCAAAGTGAGTATTGCCTACTGTGGACCGGTTGCAGATCTATCTCTGGTTCAGGCTCCACAGGGGTCTCCTCTGACAGAGGTGGAGCTCCCCCCACAGCAGGAGGACCACTTTCTGTCGGGGGAACCACCTCTGATGGTGGTGTCTCATTCTCAGCTGGAGCTCCCTCTCCCACTCGGCGTGCTGCCTCTGCAGGGGGTTCTGGTTCCTGTTCAACCTCAGGGGGTGTAGGAGCCTTTGTTTCAGTCTTGCTGGCTTCTTCTTCTGCTGGTGCCTCCACGGTTTTCTTCTCAGCTGTCTTTGGAAGCTTAGGCTTTGTCATTCTCTCCTCATGTAAAGCAGTCCTGCTGCTGATTCAAACTGGTGGTTGTATGTGTCTTCCTCTTCTGACAAATGCCTTCCTCTAACCTATGCTATCATTAGCTCTCCCTCTCTTTTGTTCTCTTCTGTAGCCACAACAATTTTTCTTCAGCAGCCCCCACAGAAGCATGAACCCCACTGTGTTAAGCAGCTGATCCCAGCAGAGACAAGCACTTCCAGGCCATTATTTATGGAGAGGGATGCCACGGATAGTTTCCTAATCAGCTGTCTTGTCTTACAAGCAATTGGCCATCTGGATACAATGATGTTCTCTCTTAAATCAACAAGTGGAGGATGAGACGGTTGTTAGAAATCAGTGATAGGCGAAGAGATAATCCAAAGCTGAGCCCCTGCCTTGTATGATACTGTTACATAGAGTATATTGGTACAAGCCTGGTTCCAGACCTCTGGATCATGGCATCTCTAATAAGTTTGTCATTCAATTTAAATGAAGAGACATGGCAATTCTACTTTCTTCTCATTTGTACGTTCATTCTTAATATGAAAGCCAAACGTCATCTTATCTAGGTATTAATGTATGATGTGTGGCACATTTTCCAGGTATTCTTAAGATAAAATGTTCATGTGGTAAAAAAAAAAAAACGGTTTTGTGAGGTCATAGCAACTTTGACCTTTGACCACCAAATTTAATCACTTCCTCTTTGTGGCGAAGTGAATGTTGGTACCAAATTTGAAGAAATTCCTTGAAGGTGTTTCCGAGATGTTGCGTTCACAAGCACCAATTCCTCTATCTGTCCCCTGTGATGATGTAACACAAACACACGATCTAATGACTGATGCTACATAGGAATGACCTATGGATCATGCAATGTATGTGCAATCCTATATTGTTGTGACACGAAGACAATCCACACACATCCTGTATTGCAACAAACATACAACAAACATAACTAACGTCATGACCACAAGTCAACCAGGTCCAATGACCCCAGAGAAACGTCACACACATTTACTTTATCACCAGGTCTACAATCGCTCATGCAGACGATCCAATGAGAATAATAACAGTTTACATTGTTTTGTCATGATTTTTTGATTTTTTTCAATTAAAGATAGTAATTAATGTATGATGTACTAATGTTTAATAATCTCTTATCACTATATGTAAAAACAGTGAAACAAGTAAAGAATACCTGTAACAAGTACAGGTACAAGACTCACCCACTGGCACAAACGGCTGTGAGGCCAGACTGTGACGAGACATGCCGATGCTGTTGACGGCATACACTCGCATTTCATACGGCATTCCTTCTATCATCCTCTTGGCTTCATAGGTGGTTTCAGGGTATGGGTCAAAGTTCAGCCTCATCCACCTGTAGCCCTTTGTCTTCTTTCTCTCCAGCACATAGCCTGAGCGTTTGAATGGAATCATTATAAACTTGGCTGGTCTTAAATAACAAACCTGAGAAATAACAGAATGATTTCAATATGTTTTTACCAATGATTGGCTGTCCACCATCAAAAGCAGGGGGATCCCACTGAACAACACACGAGTCCTCTCCCACGCTGAGGATTCTGGGAGCCTGGGGAGGATCTGGAACATCTGGTGGGAAAACATTTCTCATATGATGATTGGACAGAAAGAATTACAGACCTTTTTCAAGAGATGGAAAACATTTGACATTGAATAGTTTTTAGCTTCATGATTATATTATATGACTGTATATAAACTGTATATAAAGATGGAAGAGATGATGGTCCCCAAAAAGTGAAGCCAAATCATTTTGATCGCCTCCCAGTGGCCGGCTGTAGTTTAGGTTATAAACCTGCTTCCTCCATGTTAGTGGATGTGACATGGACAAACATACAGTCACAGTACACATTGAAAAACTGTACTCAGGATATTTTAACTAACTTTTTTCAAGGGAGGAAGTGGAGACACGTCAGCCATCTTGATATACAGTCTATGTTGGTTACAGTGACAGTGTTAAGCCTTATGTCTAGTTCAATGAAAACCAAGCCTTCTCATTAATTACCGTCAGAGTTGTATCTTACCAACAACTTTCACATTGATATCTGCAGTGTCCTCCCCTGCAGGGTTTCGGACCACAACAGAGTAGATGCCCTCGTCCTGACGCTCAGCCCCCTCAATGGTGAAGACACAGTGGCCTTTAGTGGTATCAACATGGACCCTGCTGTCTCCCTCTGTGAGGACCTACACAATGGGAACCAGAGCAGAGTTACTGGATTGTACCTGAGCAGAGAATCTACAGGTGACTCTCCAACCTGATTCTGTGGTAGTGGTAAAGTTAACGACATGCCATGTTTGGAGACATGATAAACATAACACTTTGCAATAAGTAAGTTTCTGGAAGCATTTGGGTAAATCATGCTTTTCAAAGCCAACTAATGTTGATTTGAACAACTAACTCTAGATGTCCCCATACAAACACAGGACCAGTGCTCAAAAGAGGCAACTGTGTCCATTTACTGATTTCTTATTAAAAACATATTATAATAGAAAATACTGTGCAAAAGTTTGAGGCACTTGAGATGTATAGATTTGATAATAGACTGTATAAAGTGAAGCCAAATCAACTGTATCACCCACTGGTGGCTGACTGAAGTAATTGTCTTGAATCTCACTTCCTCAGTGTTAATGGATGGGCCATGACCAAACTAAAAAGTCAAAGTAGCCCCCAATGACTACTGTGCAGATTCTGGCATCAAATGCACATGACAGCATTCTTATATTTTGACTTAATTTCTGGATTGTGGAAGGAATAGTGAGAGTGGACATGTGCCGTCGATCTTGATATCAGATTTTTATGCATAATGAATATCATCAGAGATGCATCTGGTTGGTCTCAACAGAGGATTTGACCTCAACATCATGGCATCAGTGGGTTGCTTTCAGACAGAATCCACAGAGGACCTGTGGGCCATCATGTCTGAAAGGCAAAGGGAGGTCACATCAAACACTGGTTTGAACACTAGTTTAACACTAGTTTATGTATCTTTGTGCCTATAGGACCATTGCAAAGTACTTTGTAGTATATTAATCTGGTTGACAGTAACTCAAATCACTAAATAACCTCAAGACTTAAAGAGAAACCAGAATCATGTACGGTAAAAACTTACCTACAGTTTAGTTTGTCCAAAGAGAAACCTTAACTCAAGGTCCATTCAATCTGTTACTGACTGAGAGTTAAAAAAACACTTTCACACTGTGGAAAATGCACTTCAGCCAAGTGACATTTTAACAGTAGAATTATTCTGTTTAACTTCTGGATATTGTATTTTACTCAAAATGAAACTATGTCCTTTAAAAAATCCATTCAAAAATGTACTTACTGCCCAGTTTCCTTTGATCTGTGTCTGAAGGAGGATTTGAGACATGCTCTTACCTCACTGACATGCTGGGTAACACGCATGCAGGTTTTTTTGGATCACAGAAGCTGCTTTTCATCTCTTTGTCATTGCTGTTGCTGCTGAAGCCTGTTGTTTCTCCAAGGTTGTAAATCAAGTGGGAGTAAAATCCATTCTTTTGTATTTTGACGGTAGCTGCATGCATTCTCTTTAAATTTCAAAACTCAAGTGACACAATATCAAGTGTACATAAGGTCGGCAAATACATGTAGGTTGTGACTTAGACTCCAGGTGAGCCTATCGTTTTCCTTATTTTGTGTCTGTGAGGGCACACGTGGTAAAAAGCTGACACACTTGACTGCAATGCAAGCAAGATAGAATCCATACAAACAGGCATGTATACATTCACACTTACTTCCCCATCCTTCATGGTCCAAGTGGTTGTAGACCGTCCTTTCTCTCCTCCATCAGGTTTTACAGAACTAGCCTACGTTTGAGCAGAGCAAAGCGGTAAAAGCCGAAGAGAAACGAGAGGCCCTGAAACCTCTCATTCTCCTCATCGGAAAGATCAGCAAGCAAGTAGGCATCATTGAATTGAGCTGTTAGGAGCAGTATCTACAAAACTAAACGGAGCCTCTTAAGAGTTATTTTCAGGCTCAACATTCTTAGTCCATAAAGCAGCTTTGTATTTGGCCTGTTTTGCATATTGTTAAAATTTTGCCAGCATTTGTCTAAATTATTTCAGCATTAGTAAAGTTGTATTATTATATTATATATTTTTGAATGAGGCATTGCTCATTCAGAGATTTCACAACGAATTCTGGAAAGTAGGCACATGTCAGATGAGCTGATCAACAACATGAGACTATTTGTCTTTTTTACCTTCTCTCCTTTGGTCCAGACCACTGTGGGTGCAGGGTCGCCAGTGATGGGGACGTCCAGACGCAGTTTGTTTCCAGCCACCACCACGATGGTTGACTCAGCGGTACGACCCATACAATCCAGGTGGATCTTGGGAGGATCTTAGAAAGGGACAGAAGTGGTGAAAAAAAACAGGCTCTTGCATTTTAACTAGTTTAATCTGCACGCTTATAGAGATTGAAGTTGTGATACCTTGGCGCGGCACGTAATCGATCTTCACCTCTAGGAGCACAAGAAAAACATCATGTGAGAACTTTTTAGTAAAATGTGGAGGCTTTAAATGATGATGATTTTGTGGCGTTAATTATGAAAAGTACAAATATTACCCAAGAAATTGAGTTTGGCAGAAAGGTTGAAAGCGTAGCCATCTGGCACAAAAGTGTAGTCCCCCTCATCCTCTGGTTTTACCTCGTCAATGGTCAGTTTGTGGATCCTAAAAAGTTTTTCAGATGTTTATTTCATGGCGGATATACGCAGCACATCTGACGCGCAAAAAAGGGTCCTTACCTTCCGATATGTGTGATATTTATTCTGGCGTCAGGCTTGACCTCTTTACCATTTTTAAACCAGGTCCCCCTCACGTTCTCATCCGACACCTCACACTTGAAAACCGCCTCATCCTTGGCCTTCACCGTGAGGTCTGCGATGCTCTGGTAGACCTCCAGCTCTTTCTCTACACAGTCAGAAAAACAACAGGCTCAGAGCACAGGAAGTGGAAACATCAGAGGCTTTCCTACTTCAGAAGGGGGTGTCACTTTATGAGATGACGGAATGAGATTCAATCATATGAAGATGCGTGAGGATAATGTGATAAAGAAATAGATGCAGAAGTTGTACACAAGGATATTATGGTAATGATGTATTCAAGTGTGAGGTGTTCATTATCTTTTTCAGCCTGTGTGTGTTGTATCATAGCAACAGACACAAGGGGGATGGCTGATTGGATTTATGGTAGAAAATAAAGTGGGTGGATATGAAGACCAGATGCACAAGCCTGAGGGTTATTACTGTACCTCACGAGAAATATTGTACAGGGGAGTTATTAAAGTTATCTCCAAGAATTCGTTTTCTGGGTGAGAGCTCACACTGCACTCCTTGTAAAGGTCACACGAGTTTCACGTCAGCTTGCTGCCTTGGAGGCTGAATAAGGTGGGAATGACATCATAATGGAAGTTCTGCTGCTGACTGAGGTGTTGATCCCTGCTGCACGTAGGCAGCTAGTAATTCTTGGCAGGCTCGGCTTTCAATTAACAGGCCAGACAAGCTTAACAGGACTGAGAGCGAAGTTTGGGTTTGAATCTGAACATATATATATATATATACAAACACAGCAGTATATACTGTATATATGTATATATATTCGATATAAGAGTAGGACTAAATCACGGCTTCTGAGCACAAAAAATGTCAAATAATAATCAAACACTAATGGCTGCCATTTCAAGGAAGTGGTTTACTATAATGAGTTCTTCTGCTCTGTGAGCTGATGGTGCTGAGATGACATGGTTACTGGGGGGGTAAAAAACAAGGAGGATGAAACTAGCTAGTTTATATTTTGCCTACGTCCTTGTACTGATGAGTTTGAACCGTCACCTTCCTTCATTTTTAGATCACCTGTGGATTAAAATCAAGATTTATAAACATATACATCCACCTTATATCTCCACCTGCAAAATATCTCATGTTTTAAATACATTGAAAATCATCAAATTATAAAAACTGTAAAAATCAAACTTACAGAATTCTCAGGGGCCCAGTGTAAATCTGTAATCAGTAGACTGTTCTACCATCTACTTATAAAACCACAACTTGCTTTTTTACATATACCTGAAATATTTTAATGATTTTTTGAGGCAAATAAAAGTTGGGTTTGCATCATGAAAGTGTAGCATTTGTTTGTTGTAAACTATTAATTTAAGATGAAATTTTTCTTGAAATTACACATGGTGATAAAGCGGTGATTTAATTGTGACAAAGAAATATTGAATCCACAAAACAAAAGGGAAATCAAAAACAAGGAAGTAAAGGCCGTAATGCCCAACAGTTTCCTTTACGCAATACACTCAGATATACGTTTCTGCAATGTGCCTGATTGTTTTCCATCAAGATCCAAGGAAAACAATGAAAATGTTGAGTACATCCTATCCGTCAAAAAAAATTCTTCCCCACGGGTTCCTTCCCTGACCCATACCACATCCTTCCACCAAGTTTCTAAGAAATCGGTTTGGTTGTTTTTACCTAATCCTTGTTTAATTTTGCTTTACAATCAAACAAACAAAGTAAAAACCAGCAAACAAATGAAGGGACAGGGGTGAAAACATAACCTCCTTGGCAAAAAAGACTGAAGAGAAACCAGGTCGCTGGAGCAGACCTGTGCCCTTCAGGTGAAATACGGTCCAAGTCTTCTAACTTTAGCTGGCATGCACACATCACTGCAGTAACCTTGGCAGAGTGACGCAGGCAACGACAAGTGCCACTACATCCTAAGAATAGACGGCATGCCAAGAGTGGCGATGCCACGTGACCGTCGGTGTGGTATGAGAATGTGCGCTGGGAGCATTCATCACTGACAAAAGAGGCTCGCGCTGTACTCAGCACTCAGCATGACTGTCACTCACCCTGCACCATGAGTTCAGCCATCGACTCTCCGCCGTTTGTTTTAACCTTGTAGTGGCCACAGTCTTCCTTGGAGGCCTCGTTAATGATCAGAATGTGTTTGCAGCCATCTTTCTTGAAGCGATACTTGAAGGACTCGTCTCTCGTCAGTTCCACACCGTCTTTCTCCCTAAAGTCAATAGTATTTAAAATGATCATAGTCAAACTCAAGAGCTGGTTAAAAACATCACATGTTAAAGTGTCTCCAGGTTTAAAAGGCCTCTTCTCATTTTTGTGGATTTCCAACTCATCTCGCTTTATAATCTTTTTCCCACAAATTCGCTCATTTAGTTCATGTGACCACAATGAAGCCACCTCGATTTCCTGACTGAAGGTAGTGAGATATTGTTACAAGCTGTGAAAACAAGCATGACCTTTGACCTTATGGTAGATGACCATTTACTGCTGCCAATGGTCAAAGGTCAACATCACTGCACAGGCTAACAACTTAATTGTAACCCTGAAAACTTAAACAGTAGAAGAACTTTGTAAAGGTTAGAACACAAATTTGTGCATAGATTTACGTCAACTTTGTATTCTGACAGTAGCTTCATCATTTGTGATTTTTTTTTTTAATGCTTCTGCTCATTGATCTTTGGCCCCCATTCTATAAAAAATGGTTTTGGACTCAAATAGAATTTGCAGTAACTTTCTCCTCCAGATAAAGGTCACATGGAACATACTAAAATGCTGATGTGACCTTTTCATTGAGGTGATAATTTACAGCTTGCAGCACGACTTCAGTCTGTCACAGACGCAGCACTTTGAACACATGACAAACTCAAATGCCATCTGCTGGGTGTCTGAGCAATAAACACTGGGAGTGAGATTGAAATGAAATCTACTTAAAACTGAAAGAGAAACTCAAACAACTGTGATTAAATTTGATTTAATGACACCTGATAAAAGCTTTTATCCAACAACGATCAATTACTTTTTGTCAGAATTTGATTTGTAGCTACAGGCAGCAGTAATTTGTTGATGCTCACCTGCACACACAAATATTCTATGTGCTCACGTAGCACTCGCTCACAGGGGGGATGGAGGAATGGCTGTAAGGGGATGGCAGATCTATCCCTCTACTATTCGCCTACTGGCTACAGGTTGTTTTCATCAATGCCACAGATTTTACAAATTAAGGATTTCCTGATTTCAGCTCCATAAAGACGGTTGATTTGTGAGCTTGAAGAAGAAGAACTAACCATTTAACATTGGCTCCTTCTTCTGAGACTTCACACTCCAACTCCACCCGCTCACCATTCATGACCATCTGATCCTCAAGATTCTTCACGATCAGAATTGGAGGCTCTGCAGAGGACAGATAAGAATGAGACACTTAGGTAAAACTCTGAATCCTGCAAATTCCTATTTTTTCTGGATTCCTCTAAACCTTTGATCACCTTTAACAAAGAGCTCGGTGGTGCTCTTCTCCTCCCCCACCACACAGCAATACGCAGCATCATCTGCCAGCGAGCAGTGGTTGATGGTGAGGTAGCGCATGTTGCCAACACTCTCAAATATGTACCTGAACAAAAAGCAAGAGGATTCTCAAACACTTATCATACAACATATTGTTTTTCAGAAAACTTTTGTTCTTGTTTCCGTGACACTCACTTGCTGGAAATGGTCGGGAACACGGTCAGGAATTTGATGAAATATGAATGAAAAAGAGACAAGACAGAGAAAATGAGTAACATTTCTGGTCTTTGTTGAATTCACAACAATGTACAGTCACAGCACGTTTATCAGAGATGAGGTGGATTCAAACCTTCCAGTCGGATGGATTTCCTGCCCGTTCTTCAGCCATTTCACATCAACATCTGAATTGGCGACCTCCACTGCAAGTTTTATTTTGTGCCCCTTTGTCACTTGGTAGGCAGGATCCAACTTTTTCTGGAAAGCTGAGTTTCAGAGTATGATATGATAATCAGTCAGTGTTTTTTTCCGACATTTTGTTAGGATTAGATCAAGACGGGCCCATTAAACATTCTGCACTCCAACCTGCACTTTTCTTCTCTTCTTTTTTCATCTTCTTCAGTCGCTTCAGCATGCCCCTCAGGTCGGTGATGCCGTACTGAAAAGCAATCTTCTCAAATTCTGAGGCAGGAGCCTGGCTGAGAATATTCCACACGTCCAGGTCAGGCTCCGTGTTCACCTGCACGGCTCTAATCCACGGAGAACAGTCAAGACGAAACCATAGAGTGTTACATTATGAATATAGAGTAAAGGAAGACGTACGTAACAGACATACGTTAACAGCAAGATTTCGGTCATAAATACTGATTAACAAACCTACATTGTGTATTGATTTATAGCAAACACATGGTCAGTGAGCTGATAATATATGACTACACTTATGCATAAGTACAAGTAATAACAGGTTTTTATACAATATTATTTCCTGCATTATCAAAATTGCAGTGTTGAACGATATTTCTGATTTAATCCTTCCCCCTTTCACCTCATAGACTTTTGGTAATTTTGTGGTCATGAACAAGATAATGTCTTAATGTTTATCTCTAACCTCAACCCTCTTCTCTAGTTCAAGCAAAGATTATATATTCATTGTTTTTAAGGCCTTACTCAAGCTTCTTACTTCCCTTGTTCATATATATGGAAATGCATAATCAATTTTTAACCGACAATATCGTTTTCTTAAGATTTTTGCTTTGTTTCTACTTTCCAAAATTTGTTTGAGGTGTTTCAGTACAGTATTCACATTGTTTTCAAGGAATGTGGGCGTATATAACACACTCGCACATTGACTGTTTACGGTGCATATAGTCTGGTTTGACTTCACTTTTTTTTGTTTAACTTTTCCAGTGTGAACACAGCACATATTGAGCATCTGCTGAGAGTCAGCCTGGAGTCTGGATTCTTGACACAGCAGCCGTCTGTAGTCTCTGTGTGTTTGTACCACACCTGTCCACTAAGTGTCCTCAGCAACTTTTCTTCCTCATTCATTCACAGACTGCTGACTGTCGATGTGCCTGCAGCTTCCTCCTATCAACTCCTGTGTATGCGGACAACACTGTTTTTACAAGCTTCAGCTGTTTATCTCTGTTGCCTGTGCTGCTTATTCTGTTTCTTACTTTGTCTGTCTTTGCCTTTTTGTATTGTTTCCATGTATGGGGTTGATGTGGGTTATTTGCTGTTATTTAACTGTTTAAAACTGTGAAAATAATAAGATATTTGCAGTATTTTGTCATACAATAGGTCAGAATTGAACTGATGTAACAACACACTGTAAAAAATGTCCTGATTTGTGCACATATGAAGTATTTCCTAGAGTATACTTGATACTATATATTTGAAAACAGCATACTTTCTACTATCACTTATTGATCAGATGATAATTGATAAGCCAAGCAGCTCTTCCAGCATTGTCATAAAAAAACACAGTAATGTGTAACAAATCAGTTGTTAAGATAACAGAATCTTCTTTTCCACACAGCTTTTCAACAGTTTCTTACCGATTTGAGGATTTTAAGAAACTGCTGCTCATTCAGAGGAAGAACCCAAGCGGCAAACAATGGCAAAACAAACCAGACAAGTTAAAACACAGCCGAGGCAACACAACCAGCGTATTAGAAATATTCTTTTATCACACATTCAATATTGTAACAGTGGTGACACTGCCATAAAGCAAGGCTATTAATAACAATGTCAGTCCAATCATGCGTTAACTACATCATGCGTTGGTTTATTGTGCGACGTGGAGTCCGGTTTCTCTTGTGCACAGAGGACAGGAAGTGGGTGTGATAGTGATGATTTTTGAAGTGTTGGAAAAGTGCTTTTGAGAAAAAAACTGCCTATTGTCATAGAAAGAGCAAAGACAAGTCATGGTGAATCCCAGTGGCTGGAGACAAAACGTCAGGGAAAACTTATATAATAATAAAGGGGAGAAAAGAAACAGCAAATGTCTGTTAGAGATTAGAGAGGTGTTGCTGCTTGAATAAAATAAAAAGTGGGTTTTCACGACCCTGTGTGAAATGAGGGTATAATTGGATGCATGTGTAAATTTGTATGATGTAATTTTCTCTGGCATAGAAACAAAATACTTTGGATAAACCTTTGCACGCACAAAATTATGCCAAACCTCATTCGTAATTTCAAATCCTGAGAAAAAGGACACATCACATTACTCTTACTTGTTAATGTTGATTTACATGCAGGTTAAGTTTGTGATTATTCCAACTTTAAGTTTGCAGATGCAGATGTTGCTTACTCTCTGAAGACGTACGGCGATCCATAAAGAATGAGATTGAGACAGAGTACGATTAAAAAAAGTGAAAGGCTTTAAATTCAAATCACGATTTCGTCTTTGCTCACCTCTTCTTTAATAAGGTGCTGAAGTCCAGCTCTCCTGAGTCTTCTTTTCCATCAGTGCTACTGTGGAAACATCAGCCAGCAGCAACAAAACATCAGCTCCAACAGCGCGAAACGCTTCTTTATCTCTCCACAGAAAAGATAAATGTTAATACTTTACAGGCATGGTTTGTTTTACAGTAAATAAAACAAATCCATGTTCCCAGGGTAACATACCACATAAAAAAAGAGAAATTGTGTTGGATATTTGAAGACGGAGAAGAAACAAGTGGGTTGATAGATAAAGTGGAAGTGAAGACAGACAGATGTTTTTGTTCTGGAGAGACAGGTGTTGCCATGTTTGAAGGAACGGGTCAACATTTAGGGAAATACACTCCTGGATTTATGCCACTTTAATGTTTGTGTGGGACCAGAGCTGGGGGTCCATTAGCGTAGCTTAGCATTAAGACAGGGTGAAACCATGGAGGAATTAGAAGACCTGGATCCCCACGATACAAAGATTTCAATGAAGGTTGCTCACAGTGTGTAACCACAAACTTCCAGGTTTGCATCGATGTTGTGCAGCCTGCTTCACATTTGTTTTTCTTCCACCTGACACATAGACTTCACATAAGGGTGACGTCATGCACTTCTTCAAATGGAGCAAAGAAAAGCTTTTTTAAGCATCTTATTGTCAAACTTTTACTAAATTAGAGAGTTTGACTGATAGTAAAGAGGCAGACAAGAAACTTAGGGAGAGACAGAGGATGACATGGAAAAAAGGATGTTGAAGCAATCTGAATGTTAAATATTTATTCCTGCTTCTACTCCTGCATCACTGTCAAACCTTTACACAACGATTAATTAACTCTTTGAATAAACTTTAAGAAGAACAAGTATTTCCCAAAATGTAAAACTGTTCCTTTAAGTCATCGACAGCAGCAGCAGCAGCAGCAGCAGTGGTCCGTGCACGAACAGGAGAAAACATTCAAGGTTAAAGAAACCAACAGTGGCTAAATAAGGTGTGTTGGTGTCGATCAGGGGGATGAAAGATAAAGACGAGACAACAGATTGGACTGTCTGCTTGTTTCCTGCCTCTGATCTGACAGAAGGATTAGAAGGTGAGTCCCTGGTTTATGTGGTGAAGTTACAGCACACCATGGCTGCACTTCCTGTATGTGGCAACCGAGCGGAAGAGCTCGGCTCGCTCTCTCCATCAAACCCCCTGTCAAAGCCCACTCTGTGGTGGCTGTTTGTGCAGCTGGCTCTGCTGTTTTGATTGAGACCCAGGAGGAGATAAGAGAGAGCTCCTGGCTGCAACGAGTGCAGGTTACTTAACAGTTTAATAAACCAAATATCTAGAGTCAAAAGTTAACCAGATGACAGTTTGTATAAACAGCTATAACTCCGTCCAGGGTTTAGCTCTCTCATGTTCTCCCTCCTGTGTGTATCAAATTCAGCAGATCGGAGGCGGCAGCATCCAAAACACTGTTTCTGTTCTTCAACAATCAGAGTTTGAATTTGAGCCTCCACTGTTGCAACAAACCCCTTCAATACCTTGCTGATGGTCCTGTCCTCTTCTTACCGCCTTCACCCCTGATAGGTCAGCATTTACATAGTTATTCTTTCACACATAACATGGTGATAATCCACTGTGGTTTTTTCCACTCAACTGGTGCAACCCTGTTTTATTATCTGTAATTATTAGTCACTAGTTTATCTCTTATCAACCATATCCACAAACTTATGGAAGAAAAACTGTAAGAGGTGAATCATTTTGATCTTTAAATGATCTAATTTGTCTAATTTCAACGTGGGCTCGCATTTAGTCTTTAAGGAATTGAATACATACCGAAGAGCACCAAATAAATGTTGCATATTTATTGTGTTGTGTAGTTAGTTTTCCCCATAGATAGCAGGAAATAGCTACATTCATTCTTGATTTAATTTGGTGTCACTTTACAAATTATGAAATTAATCTGAGATTATAAGATTTACTAGATAGTTGAAGTAAAAAAAAATTTGACTGATAAATATTGAAGCAAAAAAGATCTTCATTTCAAGTTTATTCAGTTTATAATCATTACTTATCAGCATGGCATCAGATTTAGATGTTTCCTTTGATTGCATTTTAGAATAATGGCTTTAGTAGATTTTATATTGTATGTTGACAAGTCGTATTTGATAAATTTGATGCTTTAGCTCTGACGTGTACTTCAATGTGATTTCAGCCTCAAGAATTCCGTGTTTGTTAACTTCTATAAACTGACAGATTGTTGAATTAAATTGTGTGGTCAGATGTTTAAGTTAAACATAAGTTAAAGCCAAAAGGATCTGATCTCAATAAAGATGTTTTTTATAAGTTCTGCACAGAGGCTAAACACAGTTTAGTTTAGTTTACTGACTGCAGCTACAGTGTGATACGACTGGAGACATGTGCCAGAGATCCACCACTAAATCATTTGCTCAGCGGTAACCATGAGCTATCCTTTTTGCATCAGACAACAATTTTGAACACAAATAGTGAAAAAAGGATGATCAGCATTTATTCAATTTTAATGTTAACTGTGACCAAAAGTATTTAATATTTTCTGCAAAGTAATAAAGTGTTGAAATATAACTTACGTGCGCCTAAATGCTGTTCTTATGTCAAATCCCTCAACAGCATTCGCCTCTGAAATGCAGAAGCACAATCCACAGTCATTGTAATATCAGACAATCCTTCTAGTGACCAAATCATTCATCATGATGGTAGGTTACATTAACAAAATCAAAAATACACAAAGTACTCGCCATGTACACTCAATTCAAAATTGCAGCTGTCAAACTTGTCCCTGGATGAAACCTCACATCTGTAACCTCCGGCAAAGTTTGCCTTGGCTGCGATGATGAGCATCTCAAATGTGTAGACCTGCAGCCACATGTGTGAGGAGAGATGTGAGGAAGGGAACATGACAAACATCTTCAATTTTACACCATAACCTATGAGCTACATTACATGCTTAGAACATTATAAGTCAGCTTCAGATTTGGGATCGTCAACAAGTGCGCCACTTATTTCCCCTGAATCCTCTACTTTTAAATGTTTCTCATCCCGTTTTATTGTGAAATGAAATTAGTAGAGGTGGTATCTCTGCTACAACTCAACCATTAAGCATGCAGCTCATAGGTTTATCATGTTTAGAGAGGCAAGCGTTAACCCAATGAAAATATACTGTATATACAAGTATGTCTATGGGCAGTTAAAGAAGAGAAAAATCTAAATTCTTCTTTTCTTCTGCTGATGTCTATGTTCCTGTTGTCGGGTCTTTTCAGTACCTTAGTGTTGCGGTCGCACGTTTCCTTCAGCTGCAGGTGTTTTCCAGACTTGCTGGCGAGGTCCATCCACTTCCCTTTGAACCATTTAACAGTTGGTTTCTTCAGCAATGACCCAGCGTTCACTTTAGCCACAAATGTGATGTTTCCACCTGCACAAACGTGTCATGTGGTTTAACACATTGTCACTTAGAAGCTGATATACAATGCACTGTAGTAGCTATAATTTAGCAGCAGATACTGTTTATGTTATACATTCACTGTAATGTTGTGTATGTTGGTGAATATAAACAGCAGTGAACACCCATTACTAATCCTGCAACTTTCTGTAGCGTATCTTAAATTGTTTCCTACCTATTAGAGGAATTCAAATCTTAATCTTCACTTATGCATATTCTTCTGTGCTTATTTTTCTATGCTACTATGCATAATCATTACTGTTTTATGAAGCCACTCACCTACAGTGACTTCTCCGCTCTGAGGTTTCTCTGTGAAGAGTCCAATCAGGTCCTGTCTGGTGTCTGGAGTCTGTTCGTCTGAAAACCCAACAGGTTCATGACAGAAACGCCACAACGTGAAGTCCAGTAGCATGTTGGAAATCATTGTAGGGAACAAAATCCACCTTCAATAAGATTGATGCTGAAATCATCCTATATGAGCTCAGAGCCATAAAGGTTTCATCTGCTCTCAGTGATATTTGAAGATTTTAGCCACTGAATTCAAAGCACTTATATTTACCCTAAAATTCTGAAATTGTTGTATAATCGTACTAAAAATTCTTATTCCAAAATTTGAGAGACTCAATCAAAGTATCAAAAGCAGAATATATGATTATATATCTAATATTTGATTATTTTAAGATAACAAATGTGGTTTAGACACTATTTTCTGTTACTCATTTGCCAGGAGCTTTTATCCAAAACAACATACAACTGACAGGTACAGTCTGGTGTCATCTACATAGCAGTGATATGAGATGTCAAGCAAGCAGATCACTGGACCCAGGAAAGTATTAAAAGTTAACACAATTAAATACTTGTATTCAAGTATTCACCAAAGGTTTCCACATGTGCTTATGAGACTGAGTTAACTGAGTAACTCACCCTCAGCTTGAGGAGCGTCATTGGCTGGTGCAGCGTCATTTGCAGGCGGAGCAGCGTTTGCCAGAGGGGCATCGTTAGCTGGTGGCGTGGTCTCTGTCCCGTCGGGTGCTGCTGCAGGAGGAGCAGGGGCCTGTTCTGGTTCGACAATTGTCTTTCCAGGTGCATCAGTAGTGGCCCCAGCTGGAGCTTCACAGAGATAACAAGGCACGAGTGAGCGGTACAGTACAATGACAAATAATGGGTCTGTACATCATTTTGACCAAGTTAGTGTCCAATCTGCCCTAATTAATTTATATCTGTTGAAAAAATATGAAAGAATACTTCCTTCTTCAAAATGTTTCTAAAAAGACACATAGTGTGTAAATTGTCTACATTTGAGCTTTTCATGTTTCATCTATCATTCTTTCAAACATGGTTTTGTCTCTGGCAAACGTTTATCACCCAAATATTTCTTTGGTCTTATCATGTTTGAATGGCCGACTGATTTTCCATTTGTTATCAGCTGCCTCTTCTGAGCGCCAGTCAAGTGGTGGTTACTCATGAGGAAATAATGTTCTGGTGTGAGGGTCAAGGTCAACATCCAGCCAGAGCCAGAGTAAGAGTGGTTATGATATAAGCCCCAGACAGCTGTGGGCAGTTGTTTGTCGCACGCTGGGCCCATTAGTCTGCTGCCTTTCTTTAAGATTTGTTTCCACTTTATCAAATCCAAACAAACGACCTTGGCGGTTCTCCCTGACAGAATAATGGCACAAATGTTGCTCTGTGACACACTTAGCACTCAGTCAATGCAACCAATAATACAGTGCTCTGAAGACTTGGTAAAGTGCTGCACAAAATGATTGTGAATAAGACATGATAACACAAGTTCACAGCATTGAAGTAATGGTCAGATTTTCTTGGAAATGTGCATATTCACCAACAATGAGCCAGGAGACAGTTAGCTGAGCTTAGCATCAACAATAGAAACTGGGAGAACAATACAACTTAAAATATTCTCATTTTAATTCAATATCATAAAAATGCCTGAGAAGGAGTGATAATAGATTCCAGATGTATTTTAGGAGATTAATGATATTTACTTTGCTATTAGGCCTTTTTTCCCACCACTGAACCAAGCCAGGCTCGCAGTTTAACCCTCACAGTATTTGCAGTCTCTATGCTAAGGTAAGCTAACCGTCTCCTGACTGTAGCTTTGCACTCCCCGTTCAGTCATGTGATATCGATATTCTCATTTAACTCTCGGCAAGAAACTGAATAAAAGTTTTGCTCAAAATTTCAAGTGAAAGTGTTTCTGAAACATAGACCACAGGAGGCGGTTTCAGAGAGCTGCAGTGGAGCAGCTGTCACACGGTGCAGAGTGTGTGAGTTCATGTGCAGAAACATCAAGTTCATGCAGTGCATCAAATATTTATTTCTGCATTGAGTGCTCTGTCTCGCTCTGTGCTCAGTGGTGATTATACAGCCTGTAGGTGAGCGAGCACACCAACAGCTGCCGCATCAAAGTCCCCCACCTGGCTTTGATAGGACCTTCAGCTCAAACTTGACCTTTGACCCCCCAGCAATCACTGCATAGACATTGGCGTCCTCCTTGGTTATATATTTTATAGTGATGGAGTGCTTGTTTCCGTCGGCTGTGATTATGAATTTGTCGCCGCTTGAGATGTCCTTTGAGTTGCACTGCCATTTTACTTTAGCATCAGGCTTCTCGGTCTCTGCTTCAAACACCACAGAGGACCCCTCCTCTGCCTCCTGAGTCTTTGGTTTCTTGGCAAATGCTGAAACTGAAGAGGGAGGAAGAGTTCGAAATAAAAGTTACCCCCTTTTCTTTTTACAACATATTTGGTGTTGGCAAAAACACAGATACTGTAATTGCCACCACAGAGTATTTGTTGATGAGAACTAGACTTTAAAGTGTTTCATAACAGACCCCTTTGCTTTTATGTGGATTGTGTTTTATCAGAACTTCATAGCAGAAGTTTTCACCCATTCATGTATTCAGAACGCTACAAGACATTGCAGTGAAACAGAAAAATAAATCACAAAAGCCTTCAGACTCCTAAAAATGTCCAGAAAATTGGATCCACACATTTTCAGAGTTTACCTTTCACATATGAAGAGCGCAGCAGGAGATAATCTGGGTCAGTAAAGTATCTAGAATATTCAGGTGAAGGTTGGTGTCTGTATAGAGCATGAAGGAGCACATGGACACTGATGTCGACCTTAATCATCTTGAATCAGGTCTTTCCAAGTTGATATATTCGTCAATGTCGTCTGCGTGTATTGTTCCTCTTTTTCATCCTGAGATATTTGTATTTTTCCAGTTTTGCATCTGTTGCGTGTTAGAAACATCATTAACACGCCCACTTGCTCGCTGTGAATTTTCTGACCCTGCAATCTTATTTTGATCAAATGTGAAGCTAGTGAGCTGAGTGAAGGTTATTGTCAGTGTTGTACAATCTGCAGCTCACTGACAACCAGTGAATTTACCTTCTCTGACAACACACTGAATCTTTCCCAGTGTCATCATTTTAAATAAAAACATTTAAAACACTGCTTTCAGAAAAACATACATGATCCTAAATAGCAAAAAATAAAGAAATAAAATTAGATAAAACATGACAGAGTGTCTACGGACAATCTATCAAACTATTCATAGTGAGTTTTGCACTCATTGTGTAAAACAGCTAACAACTTTCCTTTTCTATTTGAATATCTTCATTGTCCCTCTCGAACATCTTTAAAAAGGACCTAAAAATAGCTCTGACAGCAGACACGTCTTTCACAGTAACACCATATACATTATGAACTATGAAACATGTATGAGCAGAACTCAGATGCATATTACTCACAGGTGGAGGCCTTAGCAGTTATGCATGGCATTACAAAACCACGCAATAAAAATAACAGAACTCCACATGCTGCAAGATGAGCCTATGAGTTTAAATATAGGTTACATATGTAGTGGACTAATGAATGAGGTGGGCAGGCTTCAGCTGCAGCAGGGGCGTAGGTATCACAGCGGAGGGATTAAGCCGACTCTATTTTAGTGACTCCGGAGGCTCAAAAAGAACAACGTGCCCTCCGTGTGTCACGACGTCTCTCATCATGTCATCAATTATTCACGTCATTTCATCTTTCACATCTTTACCTGAGGTCATCCAAAGTCAAAATGATGCCTCCTCTCCCTTTTTTAAATCTCACCTTTCCTTGTTTTGGATCCAGGATTGAGATCATATGGGTCAATGTTTAAGATGAATCTCAGATAGAAAGTAAATGAAATGACACATTATTGACTATTGAAGCTATTCATCGTCAGCTCAAAACAATCATGCAACTAGTATACTGTCAACTACTCTGTGTACTAAGGTTCAAGTACAAATTGAA